GCTGTGACGTCAAGTTACTCCGTTCTCCACTTGTAATTATGAAGAAGCTTCAAAGCTGTATTTATCATCTGAATTTGCCGAAACAAGTTTAATATTCTGAAAGCCAAGACTTTGTTTATTTGAAATCAGATGAAAACAAACTGTAACGGACCCTGCCGTGTTATCTATTATTACTATACGCCTTACATTCATAATTTCAGCCGGAGGGAGGGGAACAGCAGAACAGCAGAGTGGCGAGGGAGAGGTGTCTTCTTCCCTTTACAAGCTTCAAAAATGTATTTATCGTGTGATTTTGGAAATACAAGTTTCATATTCTGAAAGCCAAGACTTTGTTTATTTAATTTTCTTTTATAAACATCCAAAATAAAAAAACTTTTTTTTAAATGTATTGGCTCATGATAGGCCCCTGATCTCCGTAGCCCCCTGGGCTTCAGCCCAGGTCAGCCCGTGCATTAAGGCGGCCCTGCTGATAAGACCCCAGGAACGACTGTTTTAATTCCTCTGACCTAGGTTTAGAAGCTAGGCTTCGTCCCAAAATCACAGGCAAGACCACCTCCGTCTGCTTAAGGAAACTAATCTCAGAGTGGTTTAAAACACCAGCTGCCTTTGTATCACTGTTTATATGGTGGCCGACCTGCAACAACAGCCCAAAACACTTACACAAGCAAAAACGCGCTACACTTTAGAAAATGCCGTGACGCACACAGCTGGGACCTGAGCGCTTGGTGATGTTCAGGATTATAGAGCTGACTGGACAACTGTCTCTGTTGGCATAGTCAGTATTTTTCATAACTGTAAGTGTTTTGACAGTATATTTAAAATGACTAGGTTACCTACGTTAGCAAACTTTATAGCAAATCTTTAATAATATCGGGAGGGATAATGTGATCACATTAATACAATTAGACGATAAAACATTTTAGGTAAGTTTCCAACAACAGTGAGAGTTGGCCAACTTTCAAAGTATCCAAACTGCTTCTGGAGGAGGAACCCCGTATCAAGTGCAGCCTCCCGGAGCATCAGATCCCAATCCCAATCCCTACCCTTAATTTAGAATGCCAATTAAACAATCTTAAATCTCAAAATCTCAAAATCATCTTGTTGATACAACAAAAGTTCCCTCTTTTTCCTGTGAAGGTGATTGTTAAGCTTTTTGGCAGTTTGAGCTCGTAACCTTTCTGTGTCAAAACCACACAGACTTCCTGTACAACAGATAGCGTGGAAATGTTTGCCATGCCTGCAACCTAACATATGTAAATAACCTGCATACAGTGTGAGGTGTAACCAATAGCAAAAGTTCCCTGTGTTCAAAGTTGAGTTCTGGTTTCCTTTTAAGCAATTTCCAAGTCATATTTGTATTTCCACTAAATCTTATTAAAGCTAATTCAATAATTTTGGGTTAATCCATGAAGTTTTAAGAGGCAGGATCTAGAGGTGAGGTCTGTCATGGCTGTTTAAACAGTGGACCTGCTAACAGTAGAACTGAGTCATCAAACATGATGTTTAGAGACAGGTTATGAAGACATCTGGAACAGCCCTGTGTTTCACTAAAGTATGTTAAGTAAATAATTCACATTTACTTCTGCTTTGTACCGAAGTGCTTTTACCTGTGATTTACTCTTTTTTCCCAATGACTTAGAGATTTCAGCTCAGAAGCTGCTGCTTTTTCAAGTCCCTATAACCACAGATCCAATCCATATATAAAACAATCATGAGTTTCAGCCATATATGTATAAAAACAGTAGCCAGTTTATTATATCTACATGGAAATGTCCTGTCTAATACATAATTCAGTAAGGATTCTGTTTGCCTTATCTGATCAAAATGGCCTGGACAAAATAACAGAAACACATATTTGTATAATGCAAAACAGTTTAACAGTAGCACAACATGATCATAAAGAGGAATGAACACTCTTAAATGCTTTCATAAAAACGTAATATATATTAACCTGTGTATAATTATCTAACACTAGTACAACACAGTATTTCCTTTAGACAGGCGGCCCTCTGCACTATAAGTGCATTCCTTTGTGACTTGAACACATGAATACAGGACGGCATAATTGTATTTTTTACTGCGGTTTAGAATATTTCCTAATTCTGTACTGGAACTGGAAAAGGAACTGCAACAGTGAAAAGGGCCGGGGTCTATACCCCAGTTCCTTTTCCAGTTCCAGTTTCTCTAAACAAACGTGCAATTAAGAGATGTGGCACGGTCACATGCACAGTGGAATTTCAATCTACTGCTAAGTAGGCTATATTAAAGGCTTCATCTGTAAGAGCGCCAAGGCAGGCCCACACACTGCCATGTCCTAACATGTATTGGACCGAAAGTTTCCTGCACTGTACAGAACAATCAGCTCTGAAGCACAAACAGTCACACACAGAAAGTGCAAAATATGGTCAGCACCAAGGCGCATATAAAAAATACTTGATGCAATAGGCCTACATTAGAGTAGCCTATTAAATGTGACGCAAACAGGAGCTTCAGCTGCAAAACAAACAGTTCTTCTGATATAATTCAGTCTGCAGATACAGTCTTCCAGAAGGTCATCAGGTCATGTCTCTGTGCCGTCCCCTTGGTGACCTGATGACTGGTACTGCTAGATAATAGACTTAATGTCCTGCCAATCATCATTCATCATACTTTGTTCCCGGAAATGTGGGAGTTCTGGCGGTGCAAGAAACACAGCGACTCGCGGATTTGTATTTCGGGTGAAGAATTGTCCGTCTAAAATCGGTCTACGGTAACGCGCAGCTCCTGTCAGACCGGCCAGAGACATCCGGGCCCGGTTACTGACCCGGTGGATCCTCATTAGGAAGTCATCATTCCCCACGATGTAGATCAGCGGGTTTATGACGCTGTTCAGACTAGCCAGGAATCTGCCCACTTGATGTGCGATGTAGATGTTTCGGAAACTGGCGCGGCAATCCCCACTCTGTTTCAAAATTCTGATTTTCAGGTTAACATTCCGAAAGACATGGTAAGGGATGAAACAGACGGAGAACAGAATCACCAGAACCACCACCAGTTTTACACACCGCTGCTTCAACACAGGGTTGACGTTAGATGATTTTTTGGCGAGAACCACAACAACGTGTCCGTAGCAGAGCAGAATGATCACCAGGGGGATGGCGAACCCTGTGAGGGTCCAGCCGACGCTGTAGAGCAGGTATTTGTCAATCAGCTCGTCAGAGGTGGTGTCATAACACGAGTTTATGGATGTTAGAACATTCTTGTCGAAAAACATATCAGGGAGGATCTGGATGATGACCAGCAGCCAGACCAGCGCGCTGACGGCCAGCGAGTGTCGGCTGCTGATCCTCCCCATCACCCGCATGGGGTGCACGATGCCCAGGTACCTGTAGATGCTGATGCAGGTGAGGAAGCCGATGCTGCCGTACAGATTGAGGTTAAAGCAGAAGCGGGTCACCTTGCAGAAAAGCTGGCCGAACTCCCATTTGCTCTCGCGCATGTAATAGTGCACGAGGAAAGGCAGGGTGAACAGGTACAGAAGGTCCGCCACCCCCAGGTTGAACATGAAGATGTTAATGTTCCCGATGTTGTTCCAACTGTTGCACAGGCTTCTTAGTCCCCAGATGTTGGACAGCGTCCCAACCACGAACACCGCGACGAACGCGGACGGCAGGAAGGTGTGCGTAAAATCCAGGTCGATGCGCTCGCAGGGGGCCGTCGTGTTGTTCCCAGACATCTCCTGAGTCCCCACTCGCGAAAGAATCTCCATATCATTCAACTTCCACTGGATAAAAACACAGCTGCCAGCCGGCTCTCGCAGAAACTTGTGCAAAACAAAACTGAAGTGCATTCGAAAGCAATAAGATGCCCGCCCACTTCTCCGGCAGGAGACCGTGTGATACACATGCAGACTAAACACAGATCACACACAATAACATCACCGACCTGCATTCCTGTGAACTGATTTACTCCGGCTGTTTTATATGAATAACACTCTATGAAAATGTCTCGTGGACTTATTTACTATCAGAATATGAAAATGTCCTGCTTCAGGTTCGGCCCTGAAAGCACTCACACACTCCCTCCCTCTTGACAAACACTGATTATGCAATAACCTTAAAGGTGGATTGTGGACCATCATTAAAATCAAATGCAGATAAGCCAAGGCCAGATATTAAGATATTCATCCCAGGAAGGAAGTAATGTGTTTGGTTAAACACACAATATGTATCTCATTTTCCATGAATGTGAATCAATCCAGATCATTTTATTTGGTTTTATTTGGTATTAATTATTTAATAATTATTTAAATATTCCAAAATAATAATCTATTCCAAATTCAGCATATTTTTACTTAAAGACTCTTTTTTAAAATAGCTTTCATGTCATGCACCCAAGAGACCTTGTAATACCCCGACGTGTTGAACACATCTCTTTTGATTGGATTCCAGTGTTTAATATTTAATTTTGTTTTCAATAGCTGTAATAATAATACATTACATCATTGTAATGCTGAGCTGAAGGAGGACACACCTCTTTATTTATTGGTATATATGGTTTTTAAAAAAATGTTTTTTTATGAAAGTTGAGCATTTTTTTATGAATAAGTCTAGTTTTTGTTCAATAGCTTTCATTTCATATGACCTAGTGACCTCAAATCAAAGCAGCATTTTAAAACAACACCTGGACAAGTAGAACTCACCACATTCACATCCTAACATTTGCAAATGAATACCCAGATTGACTCACTTAGATATGTGAATGTGTATGCATTAGTGTGTGTAGCTGATGGGAACTAATGAGATCACCGAGATGGAGAGTAAAGCAGAGCAAAGGGGAAATACAGAGCTGGGTGGATTTCTGTTCTGTTTGTGAACACACAACCCGAAGTGCATGATCTAATTATATCTATTCAGGAACCTGTGGCTGCTAACGGTCATAGAGCAGACATCATGCAAATAGTACATGAGAATATTAAGAAGCAGAGAAATGAAACAACCCGGGGAACGATCTGGATAGAAACAACTTTAATCGTATGACTTGTTGAGTTTCCATTTACACAACATCTGGATACATTCTCACAGATACTTTCATATCTTGTTTTCCGTCCTGATTTGAACACTTCCCTCATTTAAAACCCTGGTTAAACCATCATGTGTGTATGCAGAGGGGGGGAAGTACTAAGATCTTGTACTTAAGTAGAAGTACCAGAGTGTTGCAATACTCTGTTACAAGTAAAAGTCATGAATTGCAGATGTTACTCAAGTTAAAGTAGAAAAGTAATAGCATCAAAAATATACTTAAAGTCTGATTTAAGAGTTGATTATATTTCACATCATTAATTCAAATCTGTAAAGTAACTAAAGGCATTCAATTAATGGAGTCGAAGTACAATATTTACCTCTGAATTGCAGCGGAGTGAGTAGAAGTACAAAGTAGCAAATATATTGAGATACTCATTTAAAGTACAAGTATCTTACATTTGCACTTAAGTACAGTACTTGAGTAAATGTACTTAGTTACTTTACATCCCGGTGTGTGTTGAGTCCCTTTCCTCAGATGCAGCTCATAGCCAGGGCAGGGCAGCGCGGCCTGCGGCAGGGGGAGGGGTTGCAGGAGCAGGACTCGATCACCATCACCTGCTGCAGGGTCAGCCTGTTCTGGGGACAACGGAAAACCACCCGCACGGTCCTGGTAAGGGAGGGGCTGCAGCTGGGGGGGCAGTAGCGGGGCCGGTGGGCTCTGGTGCTCCTGCAGCCCTGGTGCTCCAGCTGGTCCGGCAGAGGGGAACTGTAGCTGCTCTCACACCCCCCCCCCGGACCCTGAAATACAAGTTGTTCAGCTGTGGGTTGTCTTGTTACATGTCCAGCGACAAGTCATTGAGGGATAATTCTTATCCTAAATGATGGCACAACATTTGTAATTTAAATATATGTATTGGTAGGGATGCTGTAATCAATAATGTCATGATTTATTACAGTGTCCTTTTAACCAAGCCTTACCTCCCTTGGCTCCAATCAGAGAACACCAGCCTCACTCAGCTACATGGTCTAACACACTATCACCTGGGGACCCAGGTCAGCAAGGGTCAAAAAGTCTTACACCGTTTATTTATTTTCTGAAATTGAACTTAAGCCGCTTTTTTTTACAGAGTAGGATCCTATGTAATGCTCACATAAAACACTAGTGGGTTAGAGCGCTGATCTTTGAATCAATGGATAGCAAGTTCCAGTCTCACTGCAGTCAGCATGTCGTTGTGTCCCTGAGACACTTCACTCCAAATTGCTCCTGTGGGGATTGTCCAAAGTACCGAATGTATGTAAGTCGCTTTGGATAAAAGCGTCTAACAAGTGACATGTAATGTAATCTTTAGCCACAGTCTTACATCTCACCCCCACCTTACTCTCCATATAGGATCACATACATGAGTCTACATGAGGTCTATATGAGGTCTACCTGGTCTACAGTTGGGCCCTTCTTACAGTGGCTTGAGATCACTTTCTTTTACTGAGCTCATGTTGTGATTGCTGTCTGCTGTTATGCCAGTGAGTGTTGTGTCTTCTAGCTAACAGGAGCTATGATATTCAGAGTTTCATATATAGTCAATCTTGTGTATATTGTATTCAACGTTTACATTTGATAGGCTGGACAAGCGTAATGTACATTGCCTTCAATTCTGTATATTATTTATGTTGTATATTGATATTGCTCCATAGATATGTATTCACCGTTTTGCGTATTTTGTTTATCTTCTACAGCTAATATGTATATCTTTATTGTTTTATAATGTAATTTTGTTTTAATTACATTTTGACATTATCATTTTTTTATTTGATTGACTTCTAATTAATGTGCAATGTCTTATCTGGACATAGCTGGTAAGGAAACCAATCCCACATTTGAATCAATGAAGTATGTCTTATATTTTATCTTATTTCATTCCATATCAGTCAGATCAGATCAGATCAGATCAGTCTCAAAAATAAATAAATGCACACAGAAGGATACACAAATATAATCCGGATTTATATATATATATATATATATATGTCTCTATCCACAAACGTATTTTTCAATGCACACACAAAAACGTAACATTTGTAAATGTAAAGAAAGTTTCACAAATATATTTCTGATCCACACACAAATAGTTACATCAAAAACATATTTGAGTATTGTTACATTTATATAAAAAACGAGGCGAGTGTCTTCGGCCAATCAGATGTCTGCTTCATTTTAAGCCAATCACATGCGTGTGTCCCCACGAGGGTGTGCCTAATGCTTTTGCAACCTAACGTAACATCTACGGGGTTTGCGGAGTCTGGGGATGTGACAGAGTCCAGTGGGGTGACAGTTCAGGGTTCATCTCCAACAACATGGCATCTGGAAGTGTAAGTGAAGTATAATACTTTCACATCTTGTCATTAGTCATGCAATAATCTCAAATTATAAATGATTAGTTTTGCTTAATTATGAAGGTAGCTCAGTTAGTTCGAGGATATTTTGAAACCTGTTCAGTAGGTTTAATTGTGTTGTAACTAATATAAGCTAACATTAGCTAGCGCTGCTAAGTCTGTCTAAAATGTCTGCATGCTAATTTGGTTGTTCTGCTATCAAGTATTATTTTTAATTGAAGTTTGACGGGGTCTATCGCTTCAAGAAGAAGTATATTAGCGTTCATGATTAAGTATGTTTAAGCTATGAATGGTTGCTTTGTTACTGGTGTGTATTGATGTATTATGCGTGGCATTTAATACTAGCGTTTGCGAAAAAGTAAGCGAAATAATGCTAATAGACAACCTAGGATGAGTAGGAGCGTAAGGTAACGTTAGCCATAGGAGTAATCAGTGGGTAAAATCAACGTTCTAATCACAGTAAATACAGTGGTAGCAGAGTAGCAGTGGGCAAAATATCCTCAAACTAACTGAGCTACCTTCATAATTAAGCAAAAGTAATAATTTATGATTCGATATTATTGCATGACTAACGACAAAATGTGTAGTAGCGGGAGCGCCACTTCCAGATGCCATTTGGTTGGAGATGAACTCTGAACTGTCACCCCCCCGGACTCTGTCACACCACCAGACTCTGCAAACCGCATAGATGTTACGCTACGTTGCAAACGCATTAGGCACACCCTCGTGGGGACACACGCATGTGATTGGCTTAAAATGAAGCAGACATCTGATTGGCCGAAGACAATTGCCTCTTAAAAAAATGTATGTGTGAATCAGAGTTCCCGTTAGAATATTTTTTCGCCGGTCAACATGTCCGTTAAAGTTTAAATCTTCCGGACAAAATGAGAAAAGTGCGCCGGTTAAAGGTCTTCTTTGTTATTTATTGTGCTTTAAAACAAATTGATATGATTCGATATTAAACAAACTAATTATAGTAGATTAACTACACTATTCAAAAGTGAACAGTAATTTACAATAACACGGGAATAATAAACGGAGCGCTCTCCCTCTCCTGACAGCCTATCAGTATCATGCAGCTCGCGGATCAGTAATAAGTGACCCGACAGTAAAACTAAACATATCTATAACTAGTTTAGGTAGTTTGAGAGGTCATTAAAATAGCTACGTGTGATATTCTAACCTGAAGTGTGTTTTGTTCCGCTCACCGCTGCATGTGATCATGCAGAGCTGGGTGTCGACTCGTCAGCAGCAGCTGATCTCTCTCTCCCGTTAGATTAGACTTCACTCGCGTTTATGTCCATATCGATCAGATCCAGCTAGTTCTAGCTAATGATAGGACTACCTGCTTATTAAAAGATACCTAAACAATAAGCGTCGCTATGCAACCGGGTGAGGCCGCAAAGTATAGCGCAGCATTATGCATTTGTTTACATGCCCACCGGAACCCCGAGGCATTACCAACAGATCAACGCACAATCAACCCATCCAGGACATCTCTTTCTCCACATTATGTGTTAGACATTAGAATTGACTATTCTTGTCAGTCACATACTCTTTTGTCTGTCACATAAATGGCGCAAGTTGCGCAACTGATGCGGTATTGCGCTAAACGGAAATTATTCGGACACTTTGACCGGAGAGATTTAGATTTGCCGGTCTTCAGCATATTTTACCGGTCGTAGTCCGGTAATTACCGGCTAACGGGAACTCTGGTGTGAATCTAGCGGCGTCAGGGGAGTCTCAAAAGTCCACACACAAATGCAGAGAGATTCACACTCAAATGCAGAGAGATTCACACACAGAAAGCGTTTTTTATATAAATGTAACAACACTCAAATACGTTTTTGATGTAACTATTTGTGTGTGAATCAGAAATATATTTGTGAAACTTTTTTTACATTTATAAAATTATATATTTTTGTGTGTGCATTGAAAAATATGTGTGTGGATGGAGACATTTATATATAAATCCGGAATTACATTTGTGAATCCTTCTGTGTGCATTTATTTCTTTTTGACACTGATCTGACCCCATACTTATAAAACCAATTGAATGTAAAAATGATAGAATCGAAGGATGAAACCCTCTGTATTGGTCACACATACATGCACACAGCACTTACAGTGACCTCGGCATTTAACCCATCCTAGCACTATGAGCAGTGGGCAGCTATTGCCCAACGCCAGGGGAGCAGTTGGGAGTGAGGGTTTGGGGGTGGAGTCCGGTGCCTTGCTCAAGGGCACCACGGCAGTGCCCAGGAGGTGAACTGGGACCTCTTCAAGTGCCAGTCCACACTCCATACTTAGGTCTGTACGGGGAACTAGCGACCCTACGGCTCACAGTCCAAGCCCCTACTGACTGAGCCACTGCCGGAGATGCACAGAAAGCCAGTATCTCACCAAAAGCCTTTGTAAACGATATGCCTGTTTTTACTCTGAAAAGTCTTAAAGTGTGTGGTGGTGGGACTGACCGGCTGCAGCCTGCGGAGCCTCGGCAGAGTCTGGCAGGGCCGGACCTGGCACAGTCTGGCCTCAGTCTGCAGGCGGCAGGCCCAGTTCCTATTGGTGCTCCGGGTGGAGACCCCGGGGCCACAGTTGTGGGAGCAGGGGCTCCAGTCTGAGCTCCAGTGGATGCAGTTGGAGATGGAGCCAAACGGCGGGCCAGACAGCCCACCCCCCGGCTCATCTGCTGGAGGAAAATATGTTCTGTGTGCATCAAGCTGAAAGTTGTTTGGAGTGGACAGCTTTGATGAGGGATTCAACACCATATGGACCCTGACATGTTGTAAACTGCAGCGTTGCTAAGAATAGTGCTCACAGATGTTTGGTCTTAGTCACTCTTCCTTGGTATTAAAATCTGTTTATCTCTTCACAACACAAAGCTGGTATTTGCCTGTGGGACCATGTGTTCACATGCTGACCAGCTTTTAGTTTCACAGGAAATAGCTGAAAATCATCCATCTACTTCAGGGTTTTTCCAAAGGGCTTGCAGGGATCAGAAGGAAATGGAGCACGCTCAGGTACTGCGGACCGCATAAAGCTTAGCAGACTCTTCACGCTAACGAAAGATCACTTCTAGGCAGGGTTGGGAGGGTTACTTTGTAAATGTAATCAGTTACTGAATACTGAATACATGCTCTGAAAGTAATCAGAATACAGTTACGTATTCAGATTACTTTTAGAATACTTTTGGAATACTTTATTTTTCCATAACAGATGGGTATGTTTTGGTGAACAGGAGACACGTATTTTACTGTTTTAATGGCTTATCAAGATCTCAAACACAACACCTTGGTGTCATTCTGGACAGCTCTCTCATCTGCACCACACATAAAAAACATCACCCGGACTGCATTCTTTGTACTGTCTTAAAACCTTTCCTTGGAATATGTTATGAATTGTAAGGTGTCCTTGGGTGCTTTGAAAGGCGCCTCTAAATAGAATGAATTATCATTATTATTTATTATCTGAAACGATGTAATAACTTCTAAAACTTTTTCCAGTCACTTGCCCCAGGCATTCAGCAGCAGCAGGCCATTCACTTTGATTTTATCCCGTTATAAATGTCATCATTTCGACAATAAAGAAATGCTACATAAACGTTATCTTGCACATTTTATCGAACCATCTCCGTTTCTAACTTTCAATGCGGGGGGCGGGGCCTCACAGACACTCTGCATCTCTCTCTCGCTCACAGACATGCTGCAGCGCCGTGCAGTGTGCACACAGTTCTGCCGGTAATGAATATTTTGTGAGGAAACTTTTCCACCAATAATTCCAATAAGTATTCCAAAATGTATTCACTTCAGGTTTACGAAAGTAACTGTAATCAGATTACTCGTTTTTCAAATGTAACGCCAGCTGAATACACTTGATGTTTGTATTCTGATTACTTAACGCCGTTACATATATTCCGTTACAACCCAACCCTGCTTCTAGGCTACTGTCCCGCAGCTCCTGCCTCTCTGTTGGACTCTGTCGCAGCGGGGCTACTGCTGTGGTGCGGAGCGCACAAAGCAGACTCTTCACAACGAAGGATCACTTCTTCGTCAAGGCAGGGAAGGTTTCGCAGTACGCAGTCTACTGTCCCGCAGCTGCTGCCTCTCTGTTGGACTCCGGTACTGCACCTTACTCACGAGACGTTGTAAAAAAAAATGGGTGGGAGGCGAACGCAGTAACCACTCCGCCAACGCCACAGTCACCCCCGTCGTGCGGGCCGGATGAGAATGTCTGGCGGGCCGGATGTGGCCCGCAGGCCGCCAGTTGGTGGCCACTGGTATAGGACGTACACACGGAGCCGTTTGGCCCCCCAGAGCGTTCCGTTTGCAGATCTATCCACCTTGGGACCCTTTATCGTTTTAGGGGTCCGTTTCCGCGGTTCCGTTATGGCCTCGTGTGAATGAACGGGCTATACCAGTGATTTTCAAAGTGTGAAGCGTGCCTCCCCTGGGGGGCGCCAGAGAGCTTCAGGGGAGGCGCAGCGTGAGGAAAAAAACAACGAGAAAAAGTCGAGTAAAGTGACACTTGCACACTTTTGGCTGTCTGTGGAGACCGAGTTCCCCGACCTCGCCAAAAAGGCTGTAAAAGTACTCATATACGGGTCGTGCTGCAGCTAGATTTGCCTGTCCTCTGTAAGAAGGTGTCGGCGACTGACATGCAAGAAATAACGGCTGTTCCAACTTTAACAACTTTATTAACTTCCAGGGTAGTGAATTGAACATGTAATTGGGTTGTGTGGTATATTTTCATGCACGCACACGCATGTTCCACAACACACACTGAACAACACTCAATTGTCCAATCGCTACCAGTGTCCTTGCGATCTTGTTATAACAACAAGTGCACGTTACTGATGCAATATGGTTGAGACCATTCGGTCTTATTCTAGAGGGGTGCAAGGAATAGTCCAAGAAGTAGTGGGGGAGTTTTATACAATATGTTTAAAACATAAAGATAAAAAGGTTTAAAAAAGTTATTTTTTTATATTTTAAGGAGGTGACGCTACTCAGCCAATCAAATCGGTGCAGTCAGTGAGTCAGCACGATAGATTCAAACACACACACAGAGACGAGACAAGAAGAGAGAAACAGTCTTAATTTTCTCTTACTGGACCTCTTTGAAATGCAATTGAATACCCCTGCATTATAGCAAAAACAACAATAATAATAATAGCAATAATAATTGGGAGGGGGGGGGGGGGCGCAACTGTTCTTATGTTATCTGAGGGGAGGCTCACCTTCCCACACTTTGAAAACCCCTGGGCTATACGAAAGAGAAAAGTAGTGGATACAATCCGTTTCGTTCCCGTGTAAACAGCACCATAGTTAAAGTAACAAAAGTAAAAGTAGTCATTGTGCAGATTGGTCCATTTCAGAATAATATATATGATGTGTTTTATAATGATTGATCATTAAAGTGTTCTCAAAGCTGGTAAAGGTGCAACTAGTTTGAATGACTTTGTAGCTTGTGAATTTACTCCAGGTGGAACTAAAGTCTGATTTAGGGCCACCCCTCCCTACACGCAGATCACGCAGACTGCGTGGGGCCTCACCTTGCTGAGGGGGCCTCATATTGCGGACGATTTATGCGTGAATGTGGTGCAATTAATGTTATGCGCAAATGCGGTGCAATTATGCACCCATCAACGTTCGCAAAACATGTGTGGCCGACCCGGAGGGCCATATGAAACACTTTCGACCCCCTCCGACGTAAGCGTGACATATGCGGTTTTCGGGGGAAAAGAGCTGGCTCCGCTGCGGTATGAACAGGAAAAAACGGTGCTTATCAGGCTCAAGCTCAGAACCGGCCCTGGAACCGCGTTGGTGTGAAAGGGGCATAACTGACGGGTCAAATTTGACAGGGAACACCAAAGTAAGGGGGGGAAAACCAAGACGACATAAGTGCATTGTCCCTTCTTAAATAAACAAATACAAATTCAAAATGTAGCTATTTCAGGCTTTTCCTCTTTCATATGAATCTGAACAAACAAATTTGTTGTTGCCGTTGTTCTTCTGATAGTGTAACATCACGGACAACATGACCCGCCTCACCTGCAGGGGGGTTGGGGACGATGCTGTTGTCCCGGCCTTCACACACCCACTCCCTGCAGCAGCGGCCTGGCAGTCTGAGTAGCTGAGGGCGGGTGCACCCCTCAGCAGGCCTCTGCAGATCCTCGCTGCACAGGGGCACACAGGTCACCCCCCCACCCATGCAGTGGCACAGCTGGGCACAGGACGGTTGAAACACCTCCCCCTCCTCCAGCCTCCTGCCATCCAGCTCACAGCCCAGCTGGTTTCCACCTGACCACAACAGAAGGAGGGGGGGGGACGTTATGCGGGGGAGTGCCACGTTTACTACATCCTTGTGGTGCCAATATGTGGTGAGTTAAGTCAACATGTGCAGACAGAGAACCTGCAGGAAACATGTTGGTATCGAATCGCTGCCTGGAGCTGAGCAAGAAACTGTTATAGGGAGTCAGAAAGATGGTCGGTTTTATCAAATAACTGAAAACATGAAAGAAATGAAACACATACCTGCTCAATAATGCAATAATTATTATCATGATGAACATAGTAGTAGCAGTAGTTGTAGTGGTGGTAGTAGTACTAGTTGTAGTAGCAGGCAACCTCAGTACTATCAGTACTTCAGATTGCTTATAATAAGGGGAAATAGGAAGGGTATATTTCAAGCTTGTTATGTTAATAAGTTAATGGACTTTTTTTAATCAACTAACATTTCTTTGAAAATGTTCTCATTTTATTGACTTGATTATTTTCATTAACACATGAAAATTACTGTGTAATATATTTTTACACAAGGGCTGTAGTTAGGACAGCCCTAACATGAAATGGTTGTTATCCTTTAAATGAGAGGTAGACGATGCTATGGTAGTAATGAGCAGAGCACGGAGTAGCAGTAGCTTCTGATCAGACTGATTTGTGTGAGTGTGTACGCACCAACACACTGTCCCGGCTCCCCAGGGAAGCTGGCGCTGAGGTCACACTGCAGGCCCCGGGAGGCATCACAGGGCCGCCGGGGGCCACAGGCCTCGCCCTCCTGCCGGGCGCACAGCCTGCAGCACCCACAGCCGTCTGACACCAAGGGGACCCCCGCCGGGCAGCGCGGCATGCTGGGAGGGCACTGACAGGGCCCAACACAAGGTTGGCAGCACACCTGGTGTGAGAGAGCAGAGGTGGGAAGTAACTAGTAAGTACACATTACATTACATTACATTGCATTTAGCTGACGCTTTTATCCAAAGCGACTTACAATAAGTACATTCGACCAGGAAGACACAACCTTGAAGAAAACAGAATCATATAAGTACATCAGGTTTCATAGAGCTAAAACATTTCAAGTGCTACTCAACTGGCTTTAGATAAGCCAGTCCTTTATTAGTATATAAGTGCTTTGTTAATAGTTCACATACTCAAGTACCATTTTGAGATATTTGTACTTTACCTGAGTATTTCCAGTTTTTGCTACTTTGTACTTCTACTCAACTACTTGTATTTAATACCTTTTACAGATGTGGATGAATGATGTGAAATATAATCAAGTAAGCCCCAAGGACCCCCTCGGCGGGTCCTTTTTTTTTCTTTTTCACGACACTGTGTCTCAGGGGATCTTAATATTTAAGAACCTATTAATGTGATATACCAGATTAACGGGAATAATCTCAGCTAACTGATGATACAAACCATTTTTACCAAAACAAAACACAAGTCTCATAAGAAGCATCTAAATGACCCCTGAGCGAAAAATGCTAACGGACTTTGGCACAGAACTCCAGATAAAAGTACCCTTATTACTTATCGTAGCTGCACATACAAGATATCCGATTAAAGCTGAGGTTCCACAGATTATTTAAGTATATATATCATCACTGAGTGATCCGAACTCTTGACAGGGGAAGCAAACACAGACATCACAACACGTATACCTTTACGTGGCTTTTACGGGAGATCCTCTCACCGTAGCTGTCAATCTGATCAAAAGACGTGTTCAATGGCATTAAAACGAGAAAAAACGCAGCTGAATCGGTTAATTCATAGGTTAATAATGTTTCTGGGTAATCATTTTTTAAATTTATAATCCATAATTCCATTTTTATGTAAAAATCGGAGGGTAAAAGTTAGCTGCTAATGGTAGCTACCAGAGTTATCGCAGCTTCCGGTCTTGGCTATGCGGCAGTCTCACACATGCACATTACCAAATAAGGAGTATATGGGAGTTCCCTTAGATTCCATTGGCTCTGACGGTTAGAAAGAGATGTCAATCAGCAAAATCGAACAAGCGGGGCCAGAGATAGGTCAAATCCACCCAATTGACCCCAGAAGTGTTTTTTTTGTTGCTAAATCTCTCTAAAAAGGTCAAATTTAACTTGTTTTGTATCAATCTTGATACAGGGTACTTATTATATGTTGTAGTTTGGATTCCTAAAGCTTTTAGTCTACCATCCCATTATTCAAGGGTGGTTTTCACTATAAGTAAAACAATTTTTTTGGACGGACACAATAATCAGCCTTTAGTTCCACCTGGAGTAAATTCACAAGCTACCCTGCAGTATACAAAGTCATTCAAACTAGCTGCACCTTTACCAGCTTTGAGAACACTTTCATGATCAATCATTAGAAAACATATTATTCTGAAATGGACCAATTTGCAAAATGACTACTTTTGGTATATTTTGATGCTAATACTTTTGTACTTTTACTTGAGTAACATTTTGATTCTGAATGCAGGACTTTTGCTGTAACAGAGTATTCCTACACTCTACTTCTACTTTTTCTCAAGTACAAGATCTGAGTACTCCACCCCTGGGAGCGAGATACAGCTGCTGTTTATACTGTCGCTCAGCAGCCTGTTGTGCAGCCAATTAGCTCTCAGGGTATAAAAGTAGGAAACAATGCTTGTTTCTACGGGTTCCACCTAGAGTTTAGTTTTGACCACATACACACACCGACACTGAGGTAAAGTTTGGCTACACAGTGAAGTAAAGTATGGCTTCACTGAAGATAATTGGTTAGTGCTGGAAGGAGTTTGGCATGAAGTCATGTTATGCGAAAGTATTGTTCTCTGGAATTTCTTTCTACTGAAGAAACAACATGATGCTGTTGAGGGTTGCAAAGGGGCGGAACATTTCCGGAAAGTTTCTGGTAAATTTCCATGGGAAGTTAAGCTGGGGAATTTTGGAAATATTCCATATATGAAATAAATACATTTAAGTTTTCCGCACTCTCGCGGGAATATCTCCGCGAGCGAGCTTAAGTTTCACTTTCGATTGCATGATAGAGCCCAGCGCAGCGCAACACCTTCGTCACATGTTGCCACTTGTTTGTACCATTTTCAGGCGATTTGTAATCTGTTATAGAAAAACGATGTGTTTTTGGATATTTGAGGAGAAACACTGTACTACTAATACATTTGTATGTGATATTTGCAATTTAAACATTAAATACATATATTACCCCATAAATGTCTATTTTGCACAGACATTTGGAGGGGCTATTGCTCTAAACTGGAAAAAGGGCCTCCCCCCGAAAAAATAAATAAGACCAAAACGATTATTACATTAACTAATTTGAAAAGTAATTCACATCATCATCTCATAACAAAATATGCTAAGGTAACTACTTGCATTCAGTGACTTGATTTTTAAAATGAAAACCAGTGACATTTTTTGTTTTGCGGTCCATATCTCATTAAAATATCTAATGTTAGTAACTACAGAAAAAATGGGGACAATTCAATGTAGTTTGACCATTGTAACTGCTGTGCAGAAATACTGATAAAATAGGGCTTCTATCATTATTAATGAAACCAGCTCAATGCACATTATTCTTATTCTTTATGAGCACAGTAACGGTAAGGTATCTAATGACTTATTTATTTAGTATTCCATAACTTAATAACAGAGATGGTCAAATTAAAGTAGAGACATGGCAGAAATCCTACAATGAAGCGGGACAGTGAAGTGTCCTCCTGTGAGAGGGCGATCAAGAAAAGAGAGCGAGCGAGCGGCGTGATTGATTGATTGATTGAAAAGTTTATTAACAGCTTGTATATTGGGTACAGTACAGTACAGCTCAAAACATACAATTGTTAAGGGGATGCAGACCAGAGAAAGACTTTCGTCTTGTTTACATCAGGGTCCCCCATTTCCAATTCATCATATAATTTAAGACATATAAGACATATTTGACATACAGATGGCTTATTTACAATTTACATACAGGTGGTTTTTTACATACAGATTGCTTATTTGCAATTTTCATTTTAGATTTCGTTCTAATACATCCTAACCGGACATTTAAGACATACCAAGTCTACAGATATACAGTTAGTAACAGAGTCTAAAATGCGAGTATATACATAGATGGGGGGGGAGCTGTCCATTGAACGACAGGTTGAGATTTGTACCATTACCGGGGCCAGTTTTGCAATGCTCTCCCCCGAAGGTGCTCTTTAAGAGAGGTTTTGAAGGTAAGTATAGTTTTACTTTCCTTTACAGTTGTGGGAGGAGCGTTCCACCTTGATTGCGAAACGTGTATTCCCCCTTTTTTGTGCCAAATCTGGGTTTCACATGATTTGTGGAGCTCCCTCTGGTGTTATGATCATGGTATTCCTTGACCTTTGGGAAGAATTTTGACATGTACATGGGTACCATAGAGGTGTAGTGGATCTTGTAGACCAGGCCCATTGCAAGTAGCTGTACTCTGTCGTCTACTCTAAGCCATCCTAGGTTGTCAAAGTGGGCAGAGGTGAGGTGGGTTCTAGATGAAAGGTCAAGCAGTAGTCTGACCAGTTTATTTTGCGATGTTTGAAGTTTTATTTTTAGCGCCTTGGAGGTGCTATGGTACCATGACGTGCAAGCATAGTCATAGTACCCTTGAATGAGTGCTCCTGCCAGAGTTTTCAGGGTGTTTTTGTTTACCAGAGAGGAGATCCGGTATAGGAATCTAGTTCTTTGATTGACTTTTTTTATTACATTGGATGCCATTTTGTCACAGAAGAGGTTTGCCTCAAGAATAGATCCTAGATCTATTAACGTTGAGGGAGTTTACCATGGCTGTTTAATAGGAGTTTACGGAGCAGATGAAAAGACACAGAAAGACAGAAGCACAATAACAAGTATATGTAGGTATTTTTTTGTAAATAACCGACGGTGTCAAGAGGAAGTAAAGTCCCTGCCATGAGAAAACTCAAAATCCATTTTCCAAAATCCGACACTAGAGGTGGTCTTAACGCACCGGCACCAATAGGCCTACAGTAGCCTATAATAAACAATATAGGCCTAACATGTGTAATCACACACTTAGCGATATAGAACATAAATAATAAAAACGTAGGCCTACGTGGTTTAAAAGACTTTTGTGGTCATACTGTGGAATGAGTTCACACTGAAACGAGTTCTTCATTGAAAATGTCGCGGGCAATTACATGCAAGAAGAAGGAGAAGAAGTAGTAGAAGAAAAATGAATCTGGTGTGTTTCCCGTAGCGAGACACTACAATACTAATTGTGGGCTTATCATAAAAAAAAAACAACCTCTCGCTCTCTCCAGAGGGGCAGGTCAGCCAAAAAGGGAAAACGGGCCGTTGCCCGGGCAACATTAGCCCGTACCTGTGCACGTCCCTGCCCCATAATATCATCAAAACTTGCTTCACTTTGTGTAGTCCACAGGCTCAAATGTGTGGCTTCATTTGTCTTGTGCTTCGGGCTCAAAAGTGTGATCCAGTCTTCTAGAAATCATCTGTGCATGTGATGGAGGAATGCACAGTGCCTGTAGGGCAGTGGTTCTCAAACTTTTTCTGTCAAGCCCCCCCTTTGGAGAAAAAAAAAAGTCGGGCCCCCCCAACACAAATAGTCAGGCTCAGTGGCGGCGCCAGAGATTTATTTTGGGGGTGCTGTGGGGTAGCTTGACGTTTCGTAGAGGGTGCTCAAACATTTAGGGTTTCCCATTAATGTACCGGGCGCTACAGAGGAATTTTCTACTGCAACACTCCCCACACATATACACAGTGTACCCGCGACTGTTACAATGAAGGCTCGATAATCAGCTCACGGCATATAAGGTGTAAGCAGGGGTAAAGTTCTATTTTTATAGGTGGTGTGTGGACCTCACATAGGGGGGTCCGGGGGCAAGCTCCCCCGCGAAGATTTTTAAATATTGAAGTTAAAAGCATCAATCTGGTATCTTTGAGAGCAAAATGAAGAGATCTATGGATACATCTCTCAACATCCATTTGAAACAGAACTGTAAACAGATGTACTATTTCTTTATGGATATTTTGCAAATCACTCCCCTTTTAAACGTTATTCTTGTTTTACTGTCATATAGTTTTTCATTCATTCTCTTATTTTTTTATAACTATAATGATCATATAAACGTGTGCCTCGGAAATAATTGTTTACATTAATGGTGACCAAAACGTTTGAGACCCACTGAGATAACACAGAGTCCTTTAGCTCACTGAGTCTCTCAGTCTGACAGGAGAGGACTCTCCTCCACTTTGTTGTTGAAAAAACTCCTTATATCCGTTAGCGTAGCTCGCTAGCACCAGAAGCTAACAACAACGATATCCGGTACCGGTGCGCTATCTCTCTCTCGCTCGCGCACGCACACAAAATGGCTCGTTCCACACACACACAGAGCCGAGCTTTAATGAAACACAGAGACCCAGACGTAATAGTACTGTACTGTATCATATTATTTTCGAATCAATAATTTTTCAAAATATTATTTTTTTAATTTATTTTTTAAATATTTTTTTTATTTTTTAGACATTTTTTCTCCTGGTCTCTCGCGCCCCCCCTGTCATGCCTCTGCGCCCCCCTGGGGCGGCGCGCCCCCCACTTTGAGAACCACTGCTGTAGGGGGTGTGGTCTCAATAGCCTTGCAGTAAGCAATGTGCTATGTGCATGTGATTGAGGAATGGCATGGATATTCAAGTGAATTACATCTGTTTGTTTTAGTCATGATTATGCTAAAATATACTTTCCCTAACTATATTTAAAGGTGGGGTATTTCATTTATTTCAGATACACTTTTTGTTATATTCCATGGAATGCTCTTAACGCCCCGATAGCAATGAATACATCAAATGCTTTGACAAAAAATCCATTAAAAAAAGTCATCTGTGGAAGCCGTAGCGCTGTAAAAAGCACGACCAATCATCTGAGCCGGCCTGACTAAAGTAACTGGATGGCCTACCTGCCTGTCAGCCTTCCATCTCGTGCACACACTTATCTCGTGCCCTCATTGGTCATGTGCGCGTTCATGTGTGTTGGAGGAGGGGCTCTGTAAGGAAGTGGCAGATTTTTTCCGGTTCTAGCGCCCTCGAGCTGGTTTCTCCAAAATTATCTACCCCACGTTTAAGTTCCCTATGAAGAGCCAATCTTCAATTTAGAAAATTCCCAGTTTATTCCCATAAATTCCTGTTAATTCCCATGGAAAGTTTCCATCTTTGAAAATTCCCGGAATTTTGCAACCCTAGTTTCAAATGACAATTTATTTCTCTGAGCAGCACATACAACTCTTTTATATCACACTTTACTGCATTGATGATAGATAAACTGCTCCTGACTCTGATGCCATCTGACAGTCTTTCCGTGGAACTCAGGGTGAATCATCTGTATTCCTGCAGCTCTACACACAGGCTCACACACGTGGCAGCAGTGTGGGTTGTTTGAGGTGATTCAAAATGAATCTATGTTTACTCAAAGTGCTTTGACATTCCACATCTCAAAAAAAGCCAGCCTCCCAGTATGTCTTCCAGGGACAGCCCCATGTCAAACCATGAGCTGCCTCTTTCAGATTATAGTTTCATCATTGAATCATACCACATATTTTCAGTGTATCTATTTCCTATGTCACCCAGCAAGGTCAGGGGGAAGTTTTTTCTAATCGACTACTATAGTGAAAAGATTAGTCAGTGCAGATCATCAGCAGGCTTGGGGAGTAACAGATTACATGTAAAGGGTTATGTTATCAGGATACAAACAAGGTAACTGTATTCCCTTAAAGTTACATAAACAAATACATATCAGATTACTGTAACATTTCTATAACTGGGGTTATTTGCAGGATTACAATGTTAGTGAAAATCTAAAAAGAGGATCAGATTTTATTGTAGGAATTATTATTGTGCTTATACTTTAAGGGTTCAAGGTTCTTTATTGTCTAACTAACATTGCTACAGAGTAATTATGTCGTTGAAAATCTTAGGTCACAGGTTTCTCCAACAATGCAACAAAAAAGAGCAGAGTTGGAGAGAGCCAAAGACAATGCGGCCATCTTCACCGGCGCACCTTCAGCTTTAGGTGTGAATCTATACGCCTACTGCCTGAATCTGCTTTATGGTTTTCACTTTCTTTGCTTCATTTGTTCTGTTTTTAATTCTGTAGGTGAACCTATGTTCATTAAATAGTGTGCGTATTAAACTAAAACGGAGCATTTTCTGTAAACTCAGATGTTATCTCTGCTTTTTTCCACTGTAGTATGTGCTCATGTGTTTCAGTGTTGGTGTAGGCTGCTGCCTGAATATGCTGAAGGAAATACAGATTTTCTTACCAATCATTTTTTATCCTAAATATCTGGGTTTCTTCTTTTCCAAGGTCACATTGTTCTGTTGTCTTAAATAATTCACTTCAGTAAAAAACATTTTATTGATATTTCTTTACTATTGGATTTATTTGCATTGCATTCAATATTGAAGTCATCCGAAAGTAACGGAAAGTAACCAGGTTGCATTACTTTTATATGTTCACACTCAGATTAGGTTACTGATACATTTTGTTTACAGGTAACATGTAATTGTAACATAATACATGTATAAAGTTACCCTCCCAACACTCAGACATCACAATAGGATCTTTAAATATCCTTTGATAAGCACTAGATCATTCTGAGGGACATCAGTACAACACCTGGACTGATTTTCCAATCATAGAATAAGATACAGTCATTCATATTTTTTTCCATGCCAAACATTGGCTCATCCCACATGGGATTAAGGGACAGTTATTTCTGAAGCATGCAACATCTTCTGGTCACATATACAGTATACCAAACAAAAAGCAAAACATCAGCTACAACAATATCCTCCTAGAGATAGATCTGCCTCATGAGGCCTCACCTGAGTGATGACACACAGCAGCAGAGAGCAGAGCAGCTGTCTTCTGGCCATGTCCCTCGCCACTGCCTTCTGCTCCTTCTCTTGTTCTCCTCCCGCTCTGGAGAAGATGTATATTAAAACTGCCTGCCTCCATTCACTTATATAGTCCCGGTTCTGATGTCACAGGCAGTGGACTGTGGAGTAAATAGTAGCTGGAAAAGAATAAAACCTCCCAGGACCAGGACACATTTCTGCAGTAACCCTTTCCACTGCCCCACGTTGCCCTGGATAGGTCTGTACCTGCAATGTGCTGCTCAAATATCCAATCAACTTTTCGGGTGGCTAACGAAATAGAGCTAATTTAAATTAGACTAAACATTGACTAGCCTATAATGTAGTATTTACAATGGATCAGATGCATGTGTATGGTGCCGCAAACAGCAACGGAGTGTTAGCATATAGCTGGTGAACACATTGGAGCGTTTAACATTTAAAGAGACAGATGAGTTTGTTGAATAATTTGCCTGGTCACCAGAAACATGACTATTACTGGAAGCTTATTAGGACAGCTAATGTCTACATTGTTAGCCACAAACATAATAAGAGAAGCAAATACAGTACATTATACCCTACTGCCATTCTTTTTTGAATGTCAGAATTGCCAGGTTCCCTCAAAAATGCAATCAGCTAACAATCCCACAATGCAATGAGTCACATTATGTAGATGACAATCATTGCTTGGGGACTCCCCATCTATGATGAAGCTAAATTACTCACAATCGTTATGATCTGATTTCACGATTTACTACTCCTTATCAAGAAAACTTCCACGGTGTGTTTCATGGAATTAATGATTACCGAATTCTGCTGCCCCAAAGAGATGGAAATTATTAATAAATGTTCCTTAACTCAATACATCTGAGTAAAACATTTCTCACCACAAAATATTTTCATTAATTTAAACAACTAATTATAGCTGATTTATAATACGGCCATTATACATGTGTATAGTTGTGTTTGTGTGAGAGTGTGTGCAGCATTTTAAATCAGCTAAAGAGTCTTAAGAGACCTTTTGGGACAGCCTGATAATAAAAAGTTACAATAGGAGGCATTTAAGTAGCAAATGCAGGAACTAGTTTTTCTGTAATGTTGTGAGGCAGGATATGCCTGATTTTTGCAATATAACCAACGGTCCTTGAGATTTGTTTTATGTGGAATTTAAAGGACACATCCTGATCAAGTATAACGCAGAGACTCCTCACGGTTTTGCTGGAGGCCAAGTTGGTGCCATCCAGAGTGAGTATGTTGTTGCAGTTTGTTGATAGTTTATTTTTCAGAGATGCTTAACTCTAACCCTTTAACATCACATTGAAGGTCCTTCAAGTTTTTAAGTCCTTGAGGCAATTAAACATTTTAATGAACTGATTGGTTTCATCAGGCTTGATCGATAAATATAATTGAGTATCATCCGCATAACAATGAAAGTTTATGGAGTGATGCCTTATAATATTACTCAACGGAAGCACAATATGCTTTATATTTATACATGATATAATATGAATAAAATAGGTCCAATTACAGAGCACTGCGGCACTCCATGGTTAACTTTGGCTTGCAAGGAAGATTCATCATAACATGTACAAACTGAGACCGTTCAGATAAATAAGACGTGAACCAGCTTCAACTAGGGTTGATTAGCAGGCTTATTTATTTAAACGTTTATTTGAATCGGGACAGTGCACATTGATGAACACTTTAAAACAAAATAATGCTTACAAGTGTAAATGAACGGGATTTTAGCTTTGAGCTAATTTCCATCCGTAGTCCCATCACATACAACATATAAGAACATGACATTTATATGCATAGCAAAAATAAATACATGACATCCAGGAAGAGCATAAGCAGCACACAAGCATTTACCACATGGCAGTACAATGTAGCAGCTATGATATATAAAGTGCAAGAGGAGTTACCCCTGTGTTAAAGTGCATTTAGCGGTGATTGCACATCTGTTTGTTGCTCAACCTTTCTTTGAGTTGACCTTTAAAACTATTGAGAGTGGGACAATCCCGTATCTCAGTTAGGAGGCTATTCCAGAATGAGCTGCCTTTAACGGAGAGAACATTTTGTCCAAAAGTGGTCTGTCTGCGGTGGACTTCACAGTCTCCTCTGGTTTCTGACCTAGTGCAGCGTCCAGTGTGTTTTTTGTCCATGTAAACATTTATAAAAAAAACACATACTTTCAAAAGACTTAAAATTGTCAAAACTCAATAAATTGTGTTTCTCCAGGATGGTACAGTGGTGGTATGAATGTGGCTTTCTGTCAAACACCTTGATAGCTCTCGTGCACAGCTGTTCTATGGGTTTCAGGTTTGTGGCTCAAGCGAACGACCAGTTTGTCTAACAGTATTCAATATGGGATAGAATCATACAGTGGAGGTATGACTTTGCAGCTGTAAGCAAATGTTGTTCAGCCAGTGTTGAACCTTGTCCAAAGCATTTCCAAATCAAAAGCCCTGGATGAACGGCGAGGTGCGTGGCAAACTAAAAGTGCGCACTATCGCGCACAGAGCTGGAGATTTGGAGGAGCTCAGGAATTCTAGGTATGATCTCCGGAGAGCAATCAGCAGTGCAAAGAGACAGTACAAAGAGAAGGTGGAATCTGACTTCAAAGGCTGTAACACCCGGAACATGTGGGCGGGACTAAGAACAATGACAGACTACAAAGGAGCAGCGGGGGGTGCTGCGGGAGTGTCTGCGTGCGCATCTCTCCCAGATGAGCTGAACAGCTTTTTTGCACGTTTTGAGAGCAGCCAAGCTGTGGAGGCACAGAAGGACCAGGAGCCATGCCCTTTTGTTTTAAACAGGGCAGATGTGAGCAAATCCTTTAAAAGGGTTAACCCACACAAGGCTCCTGGACCTGATGGCATCCCTGGCCGTGTTCTCAGGGTGTGTGCAGTTCAGCTGGCAGAGGTGTTCACAGACATCTTCAACAGGTCCCTGCTGCAGTCTGTAGTCCCCACATGCCCCACACTTCACCATCGTTCCTGTCCCCAAAAAGACAAAAATCACCAGCCTCAATGACTACCGCACAGTAGCACTCACCTCCATCATCATGAAGTGCTTTGAGCGGTTAGTCAAAACCTTCATCACCTCCTCCCTCCCTGACTCTCTGGTACAGAGAAGAGGGTCTTTATTCCATGTACTTCCTGGTTCTCAGGAAGACAGGGGAATTCAGACCTATTCTAGATCTCCGCGGCCTGAATCGCCACATTTCCTGCAGGAAATTCCGCATGTTAACTATGAAACAGTTTCTGGGGCTTGTGCAGCCAGGCGATTGGTTCACCACCATCGACCTGAAAGACGCATACTTTCATGTAGAAATTGCTCCAGAGCACAGAAAGTGTCTGCGTGTTGCCTTCCAGGGGATAGCCTATGAGTACAACAGGCTGCCATTCGGCTATTCCCTATCCCCACGCATATTCAGCAAATGTGTGGCCACAGCGCTTAAACCGAGTTTTCTTTTACTAGACGCTCTCATAGTCATGGGAACAGGCAATATTTTGCACAGCACAATTGATCACACACCTAACCAAATTAGGCTTTGCAATCAATTGGAAAAAAGAGCACCCCCATACCTCGCCAACAGGCGTTGTATTTGGGAGTGGTGCTCGATGCAGGCGTGCTACGCCCCACCCTGTCAGAGTGCAGACGTGCGTCCCTTCTCCGGGCGGTTCACAGTTCTGGAGCTCTCCTCCCTAAAAGCACTGTCGTGGAACACAGCTTTGCTTCTTGCCTTAACGTCAGCCAAAAGAGTGTCCGAGTTAACCGCTCTGTCGGTGCACCCAAGCTGTTGACTGATTCGGGGTGACCGGAGCGGCGCGACACTCAAACCGAACTCCTCCTTTGTGCCCAAAAGCCAAAGGAGTGCGTTCAGGTCGAGGGCTATTCAGTTAAGGGGTTTTAGTCTCCCCCCCATGGTGGGGCCAGGGAAGCTAAACTGCACCTCCTCTGCCCGGTGCGTGGGCTAGCATGTTGTGTGGAGCGCACGGCTGCCCTTAGATGCACGAACAGCTGTTTGTGTGCTACGGGGGCGGGGTGATCGGGAAAGCTCTGTCCAAGAAACGCCTGGCAGGCAGGGGATTTGTGCACACTCCACACGGGCTGTGGCTGTGTCAACAGCCTTATTCAACGGTGTGACCCCCTAATCCAACCAGGAGCGTCTGCGCCGCGCTGCGCCGCAGCGTTTTTAACGATCGCGGCCACTCTAGTCAATGGGTGCTATTCCACCAGACCCACTGCGCTGCGCCGTGCTGCGCCGCGCTGCGCCGCGGCTCGAAGCGTCCCAGAAGCTCCTCGCCGCAAGGAATTTCTAAAATATAGGATGAATCCTATTTTTGACGCGGCGCAGCGCAGGCAGGAAGTGGAACGTTCATCCAACAACTGCGAGGCTGCACATACGACGCTCCGCTTCCGCAACGTTTTGAAACGCGCCTGGTGGGTTATGACGCAGGAGGAGGTCGCAGCGCGCCGCAGCGCAGACGCTTCCGGTGGGATCAGGGGGTGAGTGTGGAGGATATATGCACTGCGGCGTCTTGGTCAATGCCAGGCCCCTTCATAAAGTTGTATCTCTTGGACATGTCTGGCTCTTCCTCAGTTGGCATCTGACCCCCTCCCCGGACGTAATACGCATTTCCCGGGCCCTCTGAGGGGTCCCGGGATGGGCGAGGTGCGCCCTGGTCCTTACAGGGCTGGACGGCTATCCTCCTCTTGCCGAGAGGCAAGAGGGGTAGCCCTCCACACTTTAGTCCACACACTCTGCAAAGGGTCAGTGTTTGAGTGTGGGGCATGGGCACTGGCGCTCTCCCTGTGATCCTTAGGGACTCAGGGAGGTAGGTGCACAGTGAGCCCATACAGGCTCCCCATCTGCCTATGGGCGGAGTGCCCCCGGCACTGTTTTGAGCACACTTTCTGCGCAGATTTCTCCTCGGTCACAACCGGGTTAAAGGAGAATGTGGGGCAGCAGCTGCTGACCAGAAAAGCCGGTCAGGGGCAGTAGGGTGGAATGATGTTGTTGGACGACAGTGCGCGTATACATCAGGGCTCCACCCACTATACCCATAGAGTCCAGTAGAGGGCGGAGCCTGTGAGAGATATAACGCTAGGTTACGTATTGTAACCCTTGTTATATTAACACAGGCGGAGCCCTCTACTCAGGGCACTGTCTGGCCTATATCGCTGAAGAGAGGTGTAGGATGATAGTCAGGAGGCGAGGCCTCCTTTTATACGGTGAGATGCGCGCGCATTCAGGCGCCCCAAGGCTGGCTACGTCTATAGCAGGGGTGCCCAACCAGTCGATCGATCGCGGGGAGATTCCCAGTCGATCGCGAGATTCCCAGTCGATCGTGAGATTCCCAGTCGATCGCGAGATGTGTCTAAAAATAGAACAACAATATTCTGTTTTATCGTTAATGTCCTATAACATAATCTTCCCGTGCCAGAATAATGCATTGAACGCACCAAAGCTTTGTGATTGGCCGGCGTGACCCCATGTGTCGGGGCGTGGCTGGTGATCAGTGGATACTATTTCGCTGACGTTGTCCATGTCAACAGGAGTGACAGTCTGCACACACACAAGACAGCAATTATGGCAGAAGCAAAAAAGCCCAAAATATATAATTTTCACTCTATGATTATTTTTGTATCTATTCCAATTCAAAGTCCATCTGTCTCATCTGCAATGCGAGCGTGGCTTTATCGAAGAAGGGTAATTTAGGAGCGGCATTTCAAAACAGTGCACAAACGCTACGAGACGGAATTCCCTCCTAATTCTGCCCTACGCTCCCAAAAGGGGAGGGGCCTGAAAGGACAGCTAAATGCACAGCAGTCCATTTTCACCAGGCCCAACAACAAGAGCAAGGCTGCTACCAGAGCATCTTATTGTGTCAGTCGCGTTCTTGCGAAACACATGAAGTCTTTCAAAGACGGCGAAGTTGTGAAAGAAGCATTCCTGGAGGCTGCCGACGCGCTTTTTGGGGACAGTAAAAATAACAGAAGCATTTCAACAGGTTTTTGATATAATAAAAACTCAATTAGATACAGTTATTAATCAGCTGTGAGTTTTAGTTTGTTTGAACTTATTCATTATAATTATTGTACAAAATGGTATAAGAATGCAAACTTAAATTGATTAGAGTGTATCATCAATTCAGGTTAAGAAACTAGTGTTGCTTGCATCCTATTTTAAAGGCATTTCTTTTTATAATCTACTAAAATGCAATAAAAAAAGGGTTTGATTATATTAATGTTGTCTTTTTTATTGCACCTTGGCAGCAGATTCCTGTGTAGCTTCAGATCTGAGTTGTCTTATTAGTAAGCCTCATTTATACTTTTGTAGCAACACTATTTTTATATAATGGCAAAGAAAGGGTTCAGAGTCTTTTCTTTTTTCCTGTGTCATATGTGGCAGCACTGTTCAATGTTTCTTGAAAACATTACCCACTGTAGTGACGTGTGAATAAACTCCAACTCTGTATCAACAACACTGTTGTGTAACTTCAGTTAAATACTTGTATGTGTGTAGATTAGAAAGAGGTAAGATAAATGATCTGCAGTATTTTATGAAGTAATAATCGTACAAAGGTCAGTTGTATACAAGTAGAAGTGTGTATTTACCTGGTAGTAGGCTGTCAGTAATGGCTACGCCTCTCTATTTGGACTGGTAGATCTCGGCAGACTGGCAACTTTAAAAGTAGCTCTCGGTTCAAAAAAGGTTGGGCACCCCTGGTCTATAGAAATCTCAGTAGGTGAATGCTTTCATAGAGGGTAGTACCCATAAAGTCCAGTAGAGGGCTCCGCCTGTGTTAATATAACAAGGGTTACAATACGTAACCCAGCGTTTCATCCCACAGGCAATAAGAATGTTAAACACCTGAACTGTTGAAACAACATCCATATTCATCTGCTACTTAGTAAATATTTTCTATTTATATATCATTCCAATAGCTTGCATATAGACTCTTATTTCACTATTTCACTTTTTTAAAACTATTTTTCTTTTTGTATTTACTTTTTCATATTTACTTGCACTATATTTTTCTATTTTTCTGTATTATTGTGTTGCACTGTTGGAGAAGCTAGTGACCTAAGATTTTCATCGACATAACTATAGCTATGTTCGTATGACAAATAAAGAACCTTGAACCTTGAGAGACAGGATGAGATAATGTCAGTGTTTTTCCCATGTACAAAGATGACCGCATCATTGGCATACATTTGCACATTCAACTCAGGACATACATTAGGCAACTCATTAATGTACAGTGAAAACAGTAATGGTCCAAGAATGGAACCTTGTGGAAGGCTTGAGTCAAATATTATAATGATAATAGTATTAGGTTTTTGTGTATTCCTCTTCTGTTTACTTTTGAATGCAGTACTGTACTAGCAATATACAAAAATACAAACCAGTATTTTCATTTTAAGTATCTAAAATTGGCTTCATATTGACAAACTACGACATTACAATGGCTTGATGTGTATTTGTTAGTGATAAAAAAGGATATTATAATAATATATACAAAATATAATATTTTGAAAGACCCCATCATGCATATTGAGTAGGCTGCTTTTACTTTTGATAAAGTACATCAACCTGATCTAATCAGATCAGGTTACATTACTTTTATATTTTGATACTCAGATTAATCCAATGCAATCCACTTTATTTATATAGCACAGTTTAAAAACAGAGGGTTTGCCAAAGTGCTTCACAATGAACATAACATTATAATAAAATATAATATTACACGAATAGATAAAAGGCACACATAAGAAAAGATAAAAAAGCACACATAAGAATAAATACAAGGCACATAAAGGCTATGGACAGACAGTAAAAGCATACAAATAGGTATGACATAGCTCAGACTGACTGGTAAGCGAGGGAAAAGAGGTGGGCCTTTAGGCGGGACTTAAAAGCTTCAAGAGTGGGCGACAATTTTACATGAGGGGGCAGGTCATTCCAGAGCCTGGGGGCTACC